TATCCATCACTGATACATAACACTTGCCAGTCTCATTACGTTCAATGCAAGTTCGTACATACTCATCACTTACATTCTCAGTTTTTTAGAAACTTCTTAAAAGTTGCCACTGCTGTTGTCTTGGCTCTTTTTGTGTGTTCCACACTCTAGTTCCGCTAAGCCCATTGCTCTTGTCGGATAATTGCAATAAATGCAAGTGATACGATGTTGACTTGTCTAATCGGTGGCGATACACATAATTTTCGTACTGCTCCGACCCGATACGTCGGAATGGCTGGCTTACATGACTCACCTAACCTCGTACTGTCTTATTGGTCAAAAATGCATATTACCGGGATGTGACTTGACAATTATTTTTGCTTTGATGATGATTGGCCATTTTATTCCATACAAAATTTAAAAATGTTAGGTCGGATACATTGTCATATTCAACCATATCCCCAAAAGCATTGTGTATTCTTAGACGATTTCAGTAAGCTTTTTGCCACAAGTGGCCCCACTGTACGCCTTACAATTTACCTACTTGACCCGCATGAAAGCGTACTTAAAAAATTTATTCGGCAGAACTACTGTACCCGCTAACGTCGTCTTAACTTCGGCCGTTGCAGTCTATTGGAACTCGGCCGAAGATAACAGATATTGGTAGCGCTCAGTATACACTTGAACTAACTATGGGAGAGTAAACGTACCCCCGCTAACTTCGTCTGCAAAATTGATTGGTTAAAATAGAACAGACCACTGGCGAATTCTCGGAGGGGCAAGTAAGCGTCGGAGTCCGCGAGGACGGCTTAAACGAGTGCGTGGTGAGTTCGTTTGGACGACGTACAACTAGATGCGCTGCGGGGGGTATGTGCTACTCCATCTACTCTTTCTCTGCGATCCCTCTGTTGGCTAATTAATTGCTTGTGGTGTGTTGATGTATTAGAGCTCCTCCAAGCGCAAGACCACGTCTGCTTAAGCACCAAGGTGCCTACATCGTCCACTGCCGAACCTGGTTTATCCCCGGGAAGCCTTGTGTATTTTGCAGTCGGAAGAGCTGCCCAGTCGGAAGAGCTGCCCAGTCGGAAGAGCTGCCACAGAGCCGCCACAAAGACACCATCGGTCCATGAGACCCTACCACTTTTCTCAATGGATGCACGCCAAGCTGCATTACGCTTGCAGGCCATTGGAGCGCAGGTACATACGCTAATACTGTCGGTTTGCTGAGTGTGATGCTAACTACTGTCTGTCGTCTTTACTTTTGCGCTAGAATGAAGGGCGCAGTTATGTTGTGGATGGCAGAGCCTCGCGATCAAAGCGAATGCATGCCGCAATTAGTCTTTGAGGCGCATTATGACAGTATGAACTTGGCGAGGGCAACCGCTGAGGTATGGCTGTCTCGGCAGAAATCTAAATTGGCCTTTATTCTAATCTTTCTGTTTAATCAATTTTTTTTCTGTGGTCTTCAGCTTTTTAGTCATATCTACTCTGTAGTCACGACGCTGAAAAGCGGATGCGCGACAACGAGCGGAAGGCAGCCCGTTGACCATCACTTAGTTCGCTCCAGGCTTTGACAATTCCTGTAAGTTTACCAGACCTACGTCGTTTGCGTTTCCCTCGTTCTACTTTGTCAGTTTTGCTCAAGCCTGTCACTAACAATGTCTCGCATTGACTAGCCATGGTTACCATAGCAGACATCCACTGCATCCTTTCCAACTCGTGAACTGGCGCTGGGATAGGTGGTATACTAGACAAATCAGCAACGTACGCCACAATTTCGACAGCACGCAAGCAGTCCTTTTGACTTCTGTTGCCACGGGATTTGGAAAGAGAACCGAGACCCTCCACGAAATACTGCACCAAGAAGTCGGACAGACGCTTGCCCCTCAAGCTGGATAAACTGTGTGGCCACGTTTGTTCTACCATTGGAGGACGTAGTTCCAGTGTTGAGGCTGCATTTGGTGGCTGGGCTTGCTCCGCCACGTTGCCGGTACTGCACACAGCGCACACGGTGTGCTCCATGCGAGGCATGTGATCTAACCTATCTAATATTTGATGCATCATGTTTATCAGACTTTCATTTGCAGCAACAAGTTCTTGATGCCCAAGTAATAACCTCTCAAGCGTATCCCCAAAGGTATGAACTCCAACAAATTGTTCCGCTTGTTCTTCCATCGTGAGACTGCTTTTATTACTTTCTACTGGAAGCGAGAGGATGTTATCAGTAACAAACCGCTTCCGGATATTGCTACCCCAGTCCAGCAGCTCCTCCTGACACGAATGCAGCTGTGGTAACGCGGCGTGTACACTCTGCATTTTCTGGTGAACAATGTGCTGTGGGGAAATTGCTAGCGTGTCTCGGTAATACATTAAAAACGTCGCGGTAAGACAGTCAGCAGAACCCTTCGGGGAAATCTTTGCAAAATGGAGAAGCCGTAAAGAGTCAGCAAATTGGCTAACTCTGGTGTATGTTTGATGTGATTCCATCTCGAAACAGGCTAGCGAGGGTGAATGACCAGCTTGCTTGGTATCTATCCAGCCGCCCAGCACTTAAGCAACATTTTGGTCTGCAGCAGTGGTAGGTGATATGTATTCGAGAAGAGTTGCAAATCCATCCACTGACCACAATCCTCTGTGTGCTAGATCCGACAAGTTGACGCTGGCGTTTGAGCTGGCGTACGCCGCACCACCTCGTCGTGTTGAATGCGACTGGAGATTTCTCGTAAGTGTCAACGTGTGATCATACTTGTACATGGATTTCAATAACCTGTTGATGTACGCAGCCACATGCGCTTCCGTCGTAGTCTCCAATACTTGTGAGAACACCCTTGGCGAGGCGCTATACGGATTGGCAATTAGCTGAGATGCCAAAGCATGGAAAGGGTCAATACTCCAGCATATAGGAGAACAGAAAATCGAAATACTTTGTTGTTGTCGAACTTTTATGCTGCAGAACGAAAACTCAATTAATAGGAACAGAAGAAATAGTACTAGCTAACTCTTACCGTGTGACGTCGATGAGAACAAAGTTCCCATTCCAGTGTAAGTCTGAGAAGTGAATGGTGCCAGTATCCGAGCTGCGTCCAATTGCGAGCCCATGGTTGTTAAGCAGAGCTCTGTCTAGTAGCGCTTCGACATCATTGCGAAGAAAGAGAATTGTAGAGATAGAACGTAAGTCGTCTAGTGTCATAGGAGGAGCCTGTTGCTTCAGCTTTTTTCCAGTCGAAATGGAAAGCATGAGATATTGTTTTTGAAGATGACGACGACATCGTCGGTACCACTCCGGATCGTTGCGGAAAAGCTCTGTGCCAGTCGTCTCTTCCAGCTGACGCTTGATAGAGCTGAGATAGCTCATCGACGTCTGCCAATGGATGTCAGGATCATTAAACAAAAAAGATAAAAACTTACCAAACATTTCTTTTGTCACATGAGCTGCTGTTAGCGTAGCTAGCTTCAGAGTCTTGTCTACATGTCTGGTCAAGAAGGCATTGAGCTTCGCCCTTGCGGACGCATCTTGCTTCTTGGAAGAGGGGCCAAGCTCACTCTCCATCAAGTCCACAATCGATTCCACGTTGGTATCGCCTGCCATCTCCAAAAGCTTTTCCCCGACTGGTCACAGTAAGGTGACGTTACTTGAATGTTGCGCTAAGGTAACTTTGATTATCTTCGTCAGACGAAGTTAAGTAAATACCCTACTGTAGCCTCTTTTAAGTCACCATCGGGAATTCCTTTTTTAAAACTAAACTTATAATTTAGGTAAAATCAGCATACCAAAAAATATTTTTGCTGGCAATGATGCGCAACCGACCTCTGAAGTAGTCCGTATAAAAGCGTTTCACAACTAAAAAAAAGGAAGAACCTACTTAAGTTCTCCTTAACTTTTAATTTATTTGCTGTATTCAAGACAATGTGACAGAACAAGTCGCAGTACAAACGGTTAAGCATATGAAAGCATTGCTGTTTTGTTTAATGTCCATCGGTTTTTGACCAATGATCATTTTGTTTTTTTCGCTACCAAAGCTTACACAAAAAAGAGCAGTTTCATCGAAAATAGGAATGTTTTAACGTTTTAAGATGACTGCAGTTCAGATTTTTTCAAAGACATTTATTCTGTAATACCGGTATATACATAATTAAGTGGTGCATATCTACATGTATCCTAGTAAGTACTGCCATTTAAAATGAGTCAGTGGTCAAAAATCATTTTTTGTGACAGGTTTGACTGTTTCCATGGACATTATCCCATTCACAATAATCTGTAAGCTGTGGCCTATCATAGCACGCAAAAAGCTATTTCTCCAATTCCAATTCCTTCTTAATAACGATCGCAAGAATCCTCTACAAATAAATCTCATTTTTCAAAAATATTTTGGCGCGCAACGCTTCGCGCCCGGTTTCAAATCCAGTGCCGTTCCCCATACAAAGTTCCAATCGCGATCATGGGCGACAATGTCGAAGTTCGGTCCGCTCCCGCCGCGCCGCCGACCACGCGTGAGCTGGCGTCCCAGTTGCGTGCGGGCTTGTCAGCACTGAAGCGTGATGTGGCCACGTCCTTCCGACTATGTGGCCGTGACTTTGGTATTCTGGGTGCCGAGCTCGTCTCCGCGCTTGAAGGCGGCAGGCAGCGTGAGCGAGCTTCAGCCGACGCCTTGGCCCACGAGCGCGCAGCACGCGACCACCTTGAGACGAGGCTGGCGGAGATTCAGGGAAATATCCGTGTACTGTGTCGCGTACGGCCTATGCCACCAGCCACGGCGGGCTCCAGCGGCGAGGAGAGCGAGAATACAAGCCCAGACAAGCGCCGCAAGCGCGTACAGGTCGAGTCGGCGCAGGAGCTGAGCGTTTTCTCGCCCGTGGATGGGGCACTGTACAAGAGCTTCTCGTTCTCTAGGGTATTCCACGAGCAGCACTCGCAGGTAACAGTATTCAAGGAAGTGGCGCCGCTCGTGCGCTCCGCCATCGCAGGACGTCACGCCTGCGTGTTCGCTTACGGTCAGACGGGTGCAGGTAAGACCCACACGATGCAGGGGACGCAGAGCGATAGGGGGCTGTACTACAGAGCAGCCGAGCTCATCTACTCCTCGATAATGCAACAGCAACATGTTTACGACTTCCAAGTGAGTGTACAGATCGTGGAGATCTACAACGAAGAGATCTTTGATCTACTGGCTCAACCCAGCGTCAATTCAGGTACAGGGACAGCTGCTACAATTACAGGGCCAGGAGACAGAGGCTCGCCGACGAACGCCAGTATGGGCTGCCATGTCGGCGCCACAAGCATGTGTGGCAACCAGCAGAGCAGCTCGTCGTCTACACTGGAGATCCGACATGGCGAGAATGGCGTTTACTTGAAGAATGTGGAGACAGTTCATGCGCCAAGTGCCAAGGAATTTCACGAGGTTATTGCTCGAACCAAGACGAAGAAGAACGACCGCAGCAACAGGTCGCATACCGTTGTGACGATTGAGATTCAACGTATCAGCAAGGTTAATGGAGATGCAGAAACAGGCAGACTAGTTCTCGTGGACTTGGCAGGATCGGAACGACTCTCGAAGACGGCGGAGACGCCTCCACTTTCCGTTCGGGAATCGCAGCACATTAACAAGTCGCTGGCAGCTGTGGGCGACGTTTTATCCGCGTTGTTGGCGAAGGAGAAGCATATCCCGTTCCGCAACTCCAAGCTCACGCACTTGCTTCAGGATTCGCTGAGTGGCAACGCCAACCGTACGCTTTTACTTGTACACGTGAGCCCCAGAAGTGCAGACGTGAATGAGACCATCAATTCTCTCAAGTTTGCGTCGCGTGTGAGTCATATTCAGATGGGCAAGTCGCGTCGTACCGAGCGTGCGGAGATCACGAGACTGAGCGGAGTGGTAAGGCTAGTCTGTCGTGTCTCAAGTCTTCACACACTAACGTTAAAGTGTTGCGGCTGCAGGTTGCCAACCAGGTTTCTCAAATTCAAGCTTTGCAAGAAAAACTGACAGCGGAGCTAGAGCTGCGCAAGAAGTACGAGAGGAGGCTCGAGGAGTACCGTCAGGAGGAGCATCGCCGCAGGACCAAGGGAGACGAGGCCAGGAGAGTTTTGCAGCAGATGAGGACCCCTTCCCCGCCAGAATTACCACCCCCAATCTCTTCGCGAAGGTGGAGTTTGTTCGCTCGAAAGTAAGCCGGTCGGCATGCTGTAGCAGTCGATCCCTGCAATTTCAAATTGATGCGAGTGACTAACGCATGGATGCATGAAGCAGGGAGAAGCTTGCCAATGCCCAGGGACGAAATGGCATTGAAAACGTCGCGGAGAATATTCTACGTGGCAACGAGTCTTCGCCTGAGACTGCAGAGATCAGAACGACGATCAATGGCAAACCGAGTGGAATTTCCCCCCCGACGAACTTCTCAAGACGACTCAGTTTGTCGGCCTTGGATCAAAGGGATGGAGCTCCAGGACTCAAGACAAAACCAAGAGATCGTTCGCTTCCAACTCACGGTAAAAGGAAGAGATCGTCCGCTTCCGAAAAAGTGCACAGGTACGGAATGCCTTGACAATCTTGCACGTTCACGGTACAAAGCCTAACACACGTGGTTGTTACTCGAATAAGTATACTCAAGAAGCAACGTGTCGACGGTGATGGTTTAATCGACCTTACTGAGTCAGATGCAGACAACAGCACAATGGCGTCCAAGCAAGTATCATTCGATTTGTCGCAAGAGACTATCGGGGCGCCGACTTCTTCGCTGCCCTCCCGAGAAACTCATCAACCGCGGCAAACACGGCTTCGGGATGTAAGCTATGCCTACTCTTCTTTTGTAGGTGGCTGACTCGGTGACCCTCGTTTGTTTTTCATCTGTAGCCTGTTGGAAGGAGCGGTGCGTGTCTGTCCTCCAACCGATCAGTGACGGCACCGCCAGCAGCAAGGAGAGTTGCGTCGTCCAAGCGCATCAAGCAAAAGTCGATGGGATGGCGGTGAGCAACAGTCGCCAGCCTCGATGACCAAGAACCGATAAGAGCGAGCACGCCAGCCCATTTCCAAAGTAGCGTTTCGTATAATATGACCACAACTTGCTTTAGCTAATTGTCGGAGTGCCGTTATCAATCGTGCTTTGCGAACGCTCTAGGATCGGACGGGATACCTTCAAAGGTGCTCCGTTACTTGCCTTGGTTGGTGGTCTCATCGAGTTAGATCGGCGCAGTTTCAAGCGTTCAGCCTCGTCCGCAGCATCCACCTCGCAACGCGCACGTTGAAACACCTATGAAGCAGAGGCAACAACACAAGATCGTTAGAATTACGTCCACATACAGTATGCTTCGAGCACACAACTAAGCGTACCGAGCAAAAGGAGGCAAGCGTGGTGAAGAACTCGGTCGGTTTTCGCTTCGGGTCTTCACCAAAGTAGTCCAGCACACTCGAAACTTCTTCCTTTGCTCGGGCTATCCCGTCCGCAAGTGTCTTCATCTGATCTTCAATTTCAGAGGCAGCAGTCTGCATTGCTTTGATGGTGACCTCCAGCCCTAAGCTTTCGACTGCTTGCTGCTCGAAGGCAATCACCAGTCAGCACAGTAGCAAATCGACTCAAATCATGACTTTTTACATGTCCAAACCTTTTCTAGTAGCCCCAGTTCAGTGTTAAGACTTGTCAGCCCCCTTTCCAAATTCTTGAACTCTCCGTCGACTGTCTCGAAAGATTCGCGTGCCGCGAGAGGAACACTTCGCAGTTCTGCCTGGAAGTCGAGTACCTGTGGGTGATTCTTCTTGACGAGTCGGACCAAATAGTGTAAAACGGTCGTCTTCTGGTTGACAGCCTTGGTGTGTCCCAGTCGCAATAGGGAGTCCACAGTAAAGCCTTTGATCCCATTCTCTTCACCACTTCCATTCAGTGTATTGCCCAATTTGAGTACCATGGCCAGCAAGATCTTCAGTAGTCGGCTACCCTTTACTTCTTCACCTGCCTTTTGTAAATGCGCCACCGAAGCAGCGAGCTCCGTGCTGCGCGACGTGAACGACAGTTTGTACACCAAACTTTCCATACGAGGCGCATATCGCTTCACCTTCGCGATCTCAAAAATGAATTTCTCGGCCTATTGATCCAAAACATACAAAGTTAGCATAAACCCCACGTGTAAGGCAGCTAGAGAACTCACCTCGCCCAGCGTTTCCCTATCTCCGGTATAGCCAGAAACCAGTGCCGCCTCCTCCGAGGTTGGCAGGAATTCATTAATTCCGACAAGCTGCTCAATGGTCAGTCCACTGGGGTCAAACTTCGTCACTGCATCAGCGATCTCGCTGTATGAGAGCTTGACTCGGGCCAGCGAAATAGCGGCATTCATAGCGCGTTTCCCGCCGATTAACGTCACTGCCTGTTTACGCTTCAGAGCTTTACTCTGTCCTCGTGAAGAGTCCTTTTTTGCACTGTTGGTGTTCTGGTTCGCGAAGAAGAGAGCTTCAAGCTCGTCCATGTCCACGTCAAAGTCAACATCGTCATCTTCGTCTTCCCAGATCGTCTGCTGGTTGATATTACTCAGTCGGTCTTCCGAAATTGGCTGCCAGTGCAGCTTCTTACGTGCACGCTTAGGCTTCGCCACTGCAACCTTTACGGTCTTACCATCTCCACCAGATGATAACTGCGAAACAGTAGCATCGGGTCCTAGCGCCAACGCACGTACATCAGCGCTCTCGGTCACCATTTTATGCTTAACAGCACCCTCGGGGAGACCCATTTTCAGCATCTTGAAATATTTCGAATAGACTGGGTCATCCTGAAGCTTGACGGCATTCTTCGTAGCAGCTAGCTCCGATACAAGCGCATCGCCTCCTAGATCCAGAGCTTGCTCGTTAACACCTGCGTCAGACTTCATCTTCTGACGCACTGCTCCTTCTGGGAGACCCATCTTCAGCATCTTGAAATACTTGGCGTATGCTGGGTCATCCTGTAATTTGCAATCACTTCCAACTGTCAACTGTGAAACCATCGCATCTCCACCAAGATCTAAAGCCCACTCGTCCACACCATCCACTTTCATCTTTTGCCTGACAGCACCGTCGGGCAAGCCCATCTGCAGCATCTTGAAGAATTTGGCATACTTTGGGTCATCCTTCAACATAACATCATTCACTGAAAGGGCAACAGATCCCGTCGCCTCCGGTGTTGGCAGCTTGGAGAAAAGAGCGTCGCCTCCTAGCTCCAAAGCACGCTCATCAACGCCGTCCACCTTCATTTTCTGGCGAACAGCACCCTCAGTCAGCCCCATCTTCAGCATCTTGAAATATTTGGCATACACGTCGTGATCTTTCAGCAACACTTCCAAATTGTCCGCTTCCACGTCTTCGTTTGCAGACGGGTTCACGCATTTGATATCGTCTTGAAGCTGTGACACGCTCTGAGTCGCAACAATGCGGTTCTTCACCTCTTCGTAAGCTGCATCAGGATCAAAGTCCAAAATAATAGGGTCCAGTCCGTCCATAATTATCTTCTGCTTGACAGCTTCTTTCGGACATCCCATCCGCAGCATTCGAAAATATTTGCCATACTCTTCCATGTCCTTCAGCCGTGCTTTCTCAACAGTAGGTACTTCGTCCATGCTGACATCATCGCCTGTGCTTCCTTCGCTCGAAGGCAGTGGCTGCAATGTCGAAGAATCAACTCCATCTTTTCGCATGCAGTTTTGAACCGCCTCGAAAGGAACCCCACGCTTCAGCATCAACGTGTACTTGCTGTCCTTAGTACTGGCCGTCGACGGCTCGCTTGCTTCACTTGACTTGCTTGCCGTCTTCAGTTCACCCAGTAGTGCATACTTCATATCCACCTTGGACGGACCAGCGGACGGAGTCGCAGTAAAGGTTACTGATGCAAGTGTGTTCGCTAATGACACATCCACCAAAGGGCCCGTGGTACCAGGGCTCGTCGCTGCTTTCATAAGATCTTCCATCGATAAACCATTCGTCGCTAAGAATTCCTTCAGTTGATGAAACTCTTCTGGGGCAGTTAAATGAGATTCCCCATCCACAGACACTAAAAGACTGTCCCGAGTCGCAGCTAGACGTGATGCGTTGCCTCCGTCGGTAACATCTTGTGGGTTCGCTGATGTGGTGCTCGACTCTCCACCAACCCAGGAAGCAGGTACCAACTTCATATTTGACGGAATCCCTCCACAAGGTTGACTTGTTGTCGGGGGTTGCGCCTTCAAGGCGCAGGCGTCGCATTCCCACGCACTAAAGAACTTCTTCACGTACACTGCATGATTGGTGCGATCACTCATGGTCGTCAAGCCAAACGGGATCTTTCGCAAGCCCACACACGTCGTGTGGTAATACTTTCCGCATCGCCCTGCGCAGCGAACGACCTGCGGTCGCATCATGTAGTCGTCTTCGTTACAGGTATCGCACAGCGACAAATCCACCGCTGTAGGGATCGAATACCGCGAGCGCTGGGACTGCATGGCGACAATTTCAGCTGTTGTTTGCCAGCGAAGTGCCGGCTGTCGGTCACTCTCGGTAGAAGAATCCGCAGTCTGTTTGCTTATTGTCACTTCTTCTTGCTCCTTCTTGGCTGCTACCTCCGCTGCTTCCTGAGCAAAACTAGCTGACAATCCCTTGGAATGCAACAAGTCTAGCGCCACATTGGGTGCGTTCTGAGAGCATTGCAGCGCAAACGTAGTGGGAGTCTCGCAGAATCCCATGCGGATAAAATTCGAGTGCATTGCTGGGTCCGGCAGCACGACGTGGTGCTTGGTAATCTCTATCAGCCCCTGCCGCACGGTACTGTTCCCTGTGCAATCCATCCTCACGGAGTTTCGGGGCTTCCTCATGTTGCTCTCATGCAGCACCAGATCCACCGAGAACTGATCTTCGTCAAATCCGTGCTCGTACTGCTTCATCAAGTCCAGATCGTGTTTCTTGAGCGTCACGAGCCCAGGCAGTAAGAACAGCGTCGAATCCGCGTACCTGAATAAAACTCTCGAGGACGCATCCACGTCGTCTGCGTTATCGTAGTCCTCTCCAAAGGAGCACAAGATCGAGAATCCCCCGTCCAACTCGACGCCGTTCTCCCACAGAATGGCAAAAAAACCGTCTTCCTCATTCCAGTCCAGCACCGGAGCCTCCCCACTCTCCCCGACCTGCAGTTCGTCAGTACAGAACACCAACTTGTAGTCGTCCCAGATCTGTACGCAGGGCTGCAGCTCCACTGGCAGTTGTCTAAAAATCACAGCCTTGAGCAGCAATGGCTTATCATTGGGCGGTTTCTGCTGCTCTAACAGCTCGTGGAAGCTAGTAAGAAACCTCTGAATAGATGGGGGCGTCTTCTTCTGCAGTGCATGCGGCGTGAGCGATTTCATGTCCCAGCGTTTCCTGTAGAACTCGACGAAGGCGTCGGTCGGGTCGTCCGCAAGTCTGGCGAACAGCAAATAGCAGGCCACGACGACGCCGCTGCGGGTCTTGCCGGTTTGGCAATTAACAAGTGCAACGTGATGTGGGTCTAGTGAGAGCCACGCGTCCAGCGCGTAGCATATGCGGAAAATAAGATCCAAGGGCGGCGTGTGCGCCTTCATTCCGTCTCGCTCCCAGTTGAATTCGAGTAACTGCTCGTGCAGTTTGTCTGCCACGGACTGGCGGCCATCGTCTGCTGTTGCGTCATCCAGCGCGTTCAGGTTAAAGAACATAAAGTGACCGCGGTGTTGCGCGTCCAGGAACTGCGCCAGGTCGTGCACGTTCACCATGTTGCGCTTCTTGTCCGTGGGGCCGTCACAGGGTGCGCCCACGACCATCAGTCGCTCCGTCATGAAGGTGATCTCCAGTGAGCGAGCATCCGGGACCCGCATTTCCCCAAGACTGCCGCGACGCACGAGCCCAGCGTCGAACACGGAGCTCGTGAGGCGCCGTAGAGACTCCATCACTGCGGAATTTAAATGTAGCCATCTACGGCTCAGATTGTTTTTTTTCTTCCGACGTCCCGTTTATGTTCAATTACCACGAAACGACACGGCCAACAGTGTGCACTATTGACGCTACCATGGAGGATCGCACGGCGGAAGCGTGGAAGTGAGTGCGCATTGGGTGGCAAATGTGAGGAAGGAGTGGTGGTCATTTGCATTGCTGCCATTTTTTGGCAGGGCGTTTGGGGGCGACACGGAGGCAGGGCGGCTCTTGAAGAAGCTCTATTGCGGCACAAGCAAGCCCAAACTATCATACCCGAGTATGCGACCGGGTTGATGGATGATTGTTGGGCTATTTGGTTGACGCTGTTGTCTATCATCACAGAACTCAAGTCGAAGCCGCGGGAGACGACAGCACCGTTTATTCCTGGCGGCGGAGTGGCGGGTGCTTCAGACTCGAGAACGCATCAACTGGTGGCAAACACATCGAGTCGGGCGATCAGGGTGCCGATGCCGTCCCAGTACAAAAGAAGCGTTTCGGAGGTGGGTCGATAGTGGAAGTTTGATGAGGGATATGAGTGCTGATCAGTAAACTCTCGCAGACGCACCCGATCGACTACCTTTCAACTCACAAAAAGCCGCAGAGTGAGATTAAAAAGGAGCTGAGCGAGATCAAGAGGCAGTTGGAGGGAGCTCGCATGAGCTGCACGAGGTTGGTCATTGTCCGAAGTATAGTACTGTCAGGATCTAGCTCGATCGTTTATTTTGTTGTTTGCTGAGACTCACTCCGAATCAGGAGAAGGAGAAGCCGCATCAGCTTTTCTTGTTCACGACTGGGAGTATTTTGCCCTGCGAGCTCTTGCCCGGATCTGGTGCGTGCTTTCGTTACGAATGGGTCTAAAGTGACCATACACTTATTATTGTGGTGCAGACCTCCTCGATCAAGAACTCTCTCATGCTGCAGCGTTGCGCAACGGCAAATTCCCCAAGGATCGACCGGCGCAGCTTGAGGAGCTTTACGATGCGGTGCAGACAGAGGTGGAATCTCGGAAGAGCTACGTGTCCGAAATGATCGCTCTGAGAAGACCAGAGAAGGCGGCCCCAGTCGAGCGCGAGATCTTGGAGCGAATGACTGAGCTACGCAAAATCCACGAGCTCATCTTAAAAGAGAAACGAAGCAACAACAATTACAGTAACTAGTAACGTTAGTACTTCGAAGTATTTTAATACTAGTACGGTAGCATCCTGGTAAACAGGTTGCTTAACGGGCGATGCCCAAATAGGGTCCCACCAGTTTATTGACGGGGCGTCGTCCCCTTCCTTCCCCCTGCATCCCTTCGTCGATTGTACATGTTTAATTCTACCCCGTTTCATATCACTTGTCCCCTTCAACTGTTTCAAAATACTCGTCCCTAAATTACACTTTGTTTAATTATGGTGTGATTGTCGTGTTGGAAATCCCACGCGAGCTGTGACGGGGTCACATTGCACCTTGCGCTAGAGGAAGTTAGCTTCCGAGAGTTTACAAACTCAGTGAACGGCAGTTCACAGGTCCCCTCTTTATTTAAAAGAGAGCGAAGTGACCTAATTAAGGTAGAATGTAAACTGAGTATATTTATAGGTAGATAAAGCTTGGGTTTAATACAAACTATAAGTCACCTATAGAAATGCAATGTCGTTAACCAATGGTTGGCTTTGAACGACCTTGGTACTTTGTACCAACTATCCCGAAGTATGACGTGTCATACTTCTGAAGTGTGACACGTCACACTTTATGTAACCAGGGTACACTTAGGGATACGTACCCCGTTACATCCTCCCCACTTAGGTTCGGTTTACCGACCAATCAGAATGAAGAGGTGTTCGTCACAAACTTTCATTCTCAAAGTCGAATACCATCGACTTGGCCGCGCGAGCGCGGCGTAGGCTCACTTCACAGTTAGAGCCTCGAGCAGCAGCCTGTGCGCTCTTCTTCTAGGTCCCCACTTCGACCGTTTACCATGCCTCGTGGCACAGCAAAGAGCGGTGCTAAGACACGCTCCAAGGCTGCTGCCGGTAAGGCGCAAGCCAAGAGCACTAAGCCTCACGGCAAAGGCTCGGCACTTAAGGAAGCTACTCAGGTGGACTCCGAGGCGATCGGTTCCTCGGGTGACGCGGCTGTGGGCAAGCGAGCAAGCAAGCGCCGCAGCCCGTCGCCCTCGGCCTCTCCAGACAATCGTCCGAGCCCTCGGTTCGTAGAACGTGAGTTCGACTCTGGCAGTGAGGACGAAGTCGAGTCCGAGAGCTCGCACGATGCTCCTGCGGGCTCTGCGGGAGGGCACAGCCCAGTGCCCAGCGAGCACAATGATGACAGCGTGCAGTCGCTCGCAAGTGATCAAGGTGATCACAGTCCCAGGACGTCTGTGCGCTCTGAGAGTCAGGCCGCCAACGCTAAGGGCGCCCCCATAGCTGGTGGCGATGTGGTGTAGCGGGATCAGCAAAATCTGCGAGATTGCCAGATCCAACTTACCAACTGCGCCCAGACACCGACTAACGGAGGGGGTCCCCCGATGATCCGTGTTCTGCTGAACTTTCCTCACCTTGTGTACCCGTCGGTAGGGCGGGATCTGCTCTCTCGGTAACTTCCGAAGAGTTCAAGTGGTGAAGCTTGAGTGTCTTGGCGAGACGTGGGGATGGGGTGGAGCAGCAGTGGAAAATATTTACTCTGCGTCCGTGGATGGTTCCGTATCCTAAGCGAATATTCGAGCTTATGGATCCGGGGCCTAGATCGTGGATCTGGCCGTAGGGTTGCCTTGCGGGTGTGTTCCCTTGCCTTTGTGTTTTCCTTTGCGTTGTACTTGCCGCCTCCTGTGACGGGATCTTGAGAGTTGAGATCTTCTAGGGTGTAATTGACCAAGTAGTAATTCGGTTAACCTGTTGGATCTGCACGTGTATAGGAAAAGCTCACTAGGTTGTAGGATCTGGCCAATGTATTATCCAGTTATCACTACCAACACTAGGTTCGCAATTCCCAACCTTCTCCGAGCTCGTACGGCCAATGTAGTTCCGGTTCTTGAGGGCAGGAAGGCACTTGCGTGTTACCGTGCAAATAGAAGTCTGTATTGATATTTAAGCCTATACCTGCCTGGATTTCTACCTTCTATGTCTTCATCTGCTAAATCCCTTACCAGGCTCGGCTGCAT